TACACACCTTTCATTCAGCCCATTTATCTGTGAAGAAATGAGGCTCTGGCGGTTGAAACTTCGGCCAAGGTGGTTGAAACTTCGGCCAAGGTCACAGCTCCGAAGCAGCTGAGCGGGGGACTTGTGTCTGGGGCTGTTTTGGAAACCTGCTTTTCGCATTTGAGCTCTCCACTGCTCCCCCAAACTCGTCTCCCCGTCCTTTGGTGCCTCAAGAGGTTCAGAGCTGTGAAGGGCTTTGCTCGAGGCCACAGTGCGTTGGTGACAAGGCCGACCACAACCTCCGCCTCCGGACTCCCAGCCCAGAATTCTTTGTGCCTACCTAAACCCCACACCTCGCCCTGCCCGCCATGGCACCCCTGCCCAGAGTGCAGGCTCCCTGCTTGTCAGCCCTCTGTGGTCAGGTGGGCAGGGCTCTTCTCTCTCCCTCTCTGCCCTCCAGGGCCATCTCCACTGCTGCCCTCCCCGCCCCCGCCGGCCCCCCCCTCCCCCCCCCCCCAGTAATTGCTTCCATCTGGCCCGCCCGCCTGGCTCCTATTCCTTTGGAAATGCAGCTCCCCGGCTGCCGCCCACAGGGCTGCAAGGCCTCAGCCGCCAACCGTGGCGACATGTGGGGAAGGGGAGGGGCCCTACAGGTACGAGCTCGGGGACCTGGGCCAATGTGGCTGCCCCCAGAGTCCAGGGTCTGCCATTCCCAGATCCCTGCCAGGCAGGAGCACCGTTGTTCCGGATCCTCCTCGACACCCGTCCTTGCCTGGCTCCGGTCAGGAGAAGCTTTTTCAAAAGAGCAGCTCTCAGTCCCAGGGGTGGGGGTGGGGGTGAGCTTCCCTTTGGCCCCGCCCACAGGCTCCCCTCCCACGGCCCTCATGCCCCCGCCCCTGCAGGTGGCTCAGGTCTTGGGGAGGGAGGCCTGGTTGGAAGGGACAGCTGGAGAGAAGTGGGAGCCAGCGAGGGTGCGCCCTGGGGACCTGGGGACCACTGCCAGAGGCTTCTGGAAGGGAAGCGAGCAGGGCAGTCACAGCGGCAAAGGCTGAGGGACCCCGGAGCTCTGGACAGGTGAGCATGAGGTCCACTTGTTTCTGTTGGTCCCAGGTCATTGGCTCAGAATGAGCAGAACTAGAGATGCATCCTTCTATTTTGTGTCATTATAAAATAAAACCTGCACCTTCTCCCAGGGCCTCTGATGCTCTATTGACTCCCTTGCCTCAGGCTCTGTGGAGGCCGGCTGGGGAGGGAGGCCAGCAGGGCCCTTTATGGGGCCAGCTGGAGATTTCGGGAGCGCACTTCTGCCTGTGGAGGGGGCACGTTGCCCATCATCAAAGATGTTTAAGCGTAGACCCGTGACCTTGACAGGGACAGTCCCAGGGAGATGCAGGCCTAGGAGGGGTGTGTTGGTGGTGTGCAGCAGGCTTTAAAACTTTTAAGGTATTTTCTCCCCTGAGATTTTAGGATTTTGGTGTAAGCTCCAGGAACCTGTTTGTCTTGCTCACTGCTATATTCATGGTTGGAATGATGTATAGCAAACAGTAAGTGCTCAGTAAATATTTGTTTGATAAATGTATGGAAGAGGTACCTTGGGTTTTCTCTGTCTTCACTGTGTTCCTGCTTTCCTTCCTGCTTTTCCTGAGGCAAAGGAAGAAAGCTGCCCTTTTGACAGGTGAGCTGTCTGTCCGAGAAGGGCCTGGCCTGGCCTTGCTCGCTGCCTGGCCTGGCCCCGCTCGCTCCCCCCACCCCACCCCCCAACCCGGGGCCTCTGTAGGTGCTGGAGAGGCAGGCAGGAGACACAGGTAGGGATGGATAGGAGTCTGCCCCCCGAGGAGGGCCTGCCCCTCATTCCAGCCCCCCTCCCGGGTGCAGCTGGCCCCATTTGTGTTCCTGTCTCCCCTCCTCAGCGCAAACTTGAGGTACTTGCACAGACGGGTCCTAATCTCCCCTCTTGTCCTCTCATTGGTCCTCTCCTCCCGTTCGGGGCCAAGAGAGGTGACCCTAGGGCTGGAGCTCCACTCCAGTGTCCACTTAGGAGGTGGGGTTCACCCCTATTATTGCTTCAACCCTAACAGCTGCTCTTCGATGCCTTCTCAAAGGCTTTCCACATAAAATCTCATGTGAAAGTAGGACAGAGGGTTTTCTGGACTTTAAAGAGTTTTATTTGGGACCCTCCCCCCATTCAACTCCATTAAGACTTATTTTCCCAGTAGCATGCCGCGTGTGTTCTCATCTCCTCTTTGCTCCGTCTGTCTCCCTCCCCTGTGCTGCCCATGGCTTGGCTACTCTGGGTAACCTCCTTCCTAAAAGGTGAGTGTCCTTCAGCATCCAACCCGAGGCTCTGCTCTGGGAAGCCTGCTGGACTGCCCAGCTCCTCCCGGGCGCCCCAGTGCCCTTGGGTCCCACTCTTGCCACGTATGGGGACAGGGTAGGGTAGACCCACTGCCCTTCGGTCTCAGTCTTGCCCCATACGGGGAAGGGGTTAGGGTTGAGGGGTGCTCTGGGCGGTGTGGTGGAAGTGCCAGGCTTGTCCCCTTTCCCAGCTTGCTGGCCTCAGGCCCTCGGGTTCCTCCCCTGAGGAGCCCCCACTTCGGATCGAGAGAGTGTTTCCAGTGATGCCCCAGGGCGTGGAATCCTGTACTCTGTAAACACCAGGCCCCCGTGTCTTCTGGGATTCAAGGGAGGGCCCAGATGCTGAAGAGTGTCCAATGGTGGGTCCCAGCGGCCAGAGGCAGGCGGCCGGGCGGGAGCCACTCACTGCTGATGGCACCCTCTGTCTTCTCTCTGTCTGCGCCCAGGTCTGTAACCTCCGGCAGGTGTCGGGTGGTGATTAGTGCTCCATTAGCTGATCTGTGAGTTGGGCTCGTGGCATCTGCCCCCCTCCCAGGTTTGGGAGACCCAGGGAGGTAAACATTTGCGGGTTGTGAGAGGCCTTGGAGGTCACCACGGGGCAGGACCCGCAACTGCCTTCCTCCCTGAGGTGTCCCAGCATGTGGAGCCTCGCTGCCGCATAGTAGCAGCTCTGTAACTGTTTCTTTTTGCAAATGAGGGAGCTGAGACTCAAAAAAGTAACTTGCTGTTCAAGCTCCCTGAGCATCCCCTCCCCACAGGCAGGAGCCAGTGTCAGGAATGAGCCTGGGTCCCTCTGCCCATCCGTCCACCCCCTGCCCCCATCTCATCCCTTTCTCTGAGGTCCTGACGTCATCCAGGCCCCAAAGACCAGGATGGACTCTACTACCCCCAGGGGCATGGCCAACGGGGGACTGGGTGGGCTAGGACATGTTCTAGAAATGTCCACTGCCATCCTGCTTCTCTAGGACCTGCTCTGTCCTTGGAGGGGGCTAGCCCCGGCCTGGCAGCGGGGAGTGTGCTCTTGGAGGGGGGGCCCATCCTCCCGGGCTGTGTGGGCCCTTCTCCCCACATCACTGTTCCCCTTCTCCGCTGGTCTGCTCCTTGGTCCTTTTTTTCCTCTTTTTTTTTTTTTTTTTTCTTTTTCTCATCGTTTTCTGCCTTCCGTTCTTCCCTCTTCCTCCCTTCCCATCTGACTCCTCTTCTTTCCCCTTCTGTCCTCCGGAGTCCCCCACGCTCCTTGCCTCAACATCCGAGTGGTCCTGACATGGCAGCTGGATTTCCAGCCATCGGGGAGGTTCCCTTCTGGGCTCTGGGGGTTCAGGAGCACCTGCTGTTGTTGGCAGCTCCAGAATTTTCGAATGAGATGGTTCTTCCAGCATTTGGGCTTGGTGAAGGGACAGTGCCGGCCCAGAGGAAACTCAAAGTAAACTTAAACTCTGCTCCCTGGGCCCTCACCCACCTCCCTGGACGTCCTCCTGGGCAAGAAGGTGGGACCTGGTCTGAGAGCCTGAGGGTCTCCCAAGAAGAGTGGGCTGGTGGAGCTTCTCTGGCTTCTGACCTCCACCCTCCTCCCTCCTCTCTTCAGAGCTCCAGCTCTTTCCCAGAGGGACCTGCTGGGATGGAGGAGGCTGGTCAGAGCAGGGAGATTTTTGCTCAGACACCTTTCAGGTGAGCCCACATGGAGGGTGTGTGTGTGTGTGCACGCTGTAAGTGTGTGGATGAGTGTATACGTGGGTTGTGCAGGAGAAAGAGCATGGGCGTGCATCCATGTGTGGACAAGAATACAGGTGGGCCTGGGGGAGTCTGTGTCCTCTTCCCCCACCCCCCTTTCCAGGCCTGCTTCTAGCCCAGAGTTCTCCTCTCTGTGGTCTTTGTGACCTGGCTTTGCACGGAGCTCTGTACTGTCTTGTGGGCCAGCTGGTCCCCTGCTGCAGTCCCACTCAAGGATGACTGATCTCTGGCCACCCATTTAGCTGCCTGGGGGCCCTTGGGCCAGCGTTTGCCCCCCGCCTCCCAAAATGGAGGCGTGTGGGGGCTTCCTGCCCAGCGTCTCAACTCTGCCAAGGCGGAGGGAATGGGGAACAGCTGCGTTGGCCGATTCCGGCTCCGTATGGATTTGGTTTGACAACAAAGCTCCCTCTGTGTGTTCTCAGGCCCCTTACATAACCCGAGGGTGGGGAGTTGGGAGGCAGGCAGGAGGAGGTGGAGATGGGGACAGGGAGACACCGGGACAGGATGGCTGGAAAGGGGACAGGGACACGGGGAGGAGAGCAAAGGGGAGTGAGAGAGAGAGAGAGAGACCATTGGGAAGGAGAGAGGAGGAAACAGTGTGTCTTGACCCTACAATTCTACTTGCCATCTTCGAAAGTGGGAACGAGCTGGATCTCTAGGGCTTCTGACTTTTGCCCAGTTGATGCCTCATCTTCTCCTTGAGCCCCACCCACCAGCCCCGGACCTGGACCCGGACACGCTGAGGAAGGGCTAGGGATCTGTCTGAAAGGAAGGGTTTGGGGCTGGGCAACCCCCCACCCCGCCCCGCCCCCGCCCTGTAGCTGAGCACTTTCCATAAAGAAGGGAGTCATTTTCTTCTCCGCTCTTGGGCTGCCATTCACTACTCCAGACCCCTGGCCCAGCTCCAGAAGCCCCTCTGGCGACCCTCTTTGTGAATGGCAGGCATTCCCTATGTCCTGTCAGGCTGCTCCAGGCCCCCGCCTAGCTCCCCGTCCCTAGCCTCTCGCCCAGGACCTCCCCACAGCTCCAGCCCTCTGCCCAGCCCATCGGAGGCCCTGTGGCCCTGTCCCCGCACTGCCCCCTCTGTCAGTAATCAGACATTCTCTTCTCACCATCACTATCCCTGCAGCTGTCCAAATAGAGTGAGAAGAAAATGTTCTCTTTCCGGAACAGCTGGACTGACAGGCCAGGAAGGCCAGGTGAGCCGGCCAGGCTTGGGGGTGGGCGGCACCTTGTCCCAGGTCCCTGCTCTGCTAGCTCCGGGGCAGGAGAAAACAGACGCTTGGAAGAGGGCAGGAGGACCTGTGGGTCTTCAGGTGGGACCAGGGTCCCCGTGGCTGCGTGGTCTCCTGGGTTTTCTCAGGGTCTGCGTCTTCCCTGTGCCTCAGTTTCCCCGAGTCCTTATCTGGCACCAGGCTTCTTTGAAAAAAGCCTCTGGATCCCGTTTAGCCCTGAGGGCAGTGCTTGTCCCAAGGTAGTGGTGGATTAACAGGGTTGTATTCTTGGAAGCTGAAAACAGGGAGGACTCCTGAAAGGACCAGGGGAGGAGCTCTGGCAAAGCCCCAGATTTGGGGTACTTGGGCACTTGGTTTGACCCCTGGCACCGCCCTCAGTTAGATTTAGGGTGTCTGCCCAGGAGGTAGCCCATAGGACCTGAGCCATAGCTCCGTGGAGAGGAGGTGTGGGCGAAGCCCAAACCTGTTGAACGAGCCCTAGACTCTGGAATCCTCAGTCCCCAGGCCCTGAGCAGCTTGTGCCTTGCCCTCCCACCACCTCTCCCAGGTCTGGGATGATCCTGAAATTGCTAATGCCTCAGGGCTGGAGACATGAAGGCCTGAGTGGGTCAGGGGGATGGCTAGGGGAGGGCCTAGGAGTTTCCTCGATTTGAGGGGGAGGGGGGTAGGCCAGGAGGACAGTCCCTCTCCGAGGGATCAGTGTTAGGTGCCCGTGCAAAGGCCAGGAGGACAGTCTCTCTCCAAGGGATCAGGGTTAGGTGCCCATGCAAAGAGGCCAGGCCAGGAGGATGGTGAGTGAGGGCGCCAGGCGGGGATACGCTTCCCCGGGCCAGCTGCCTCTGGCCCATGCGTGACTGAGGTCCCAGGCTGCCCTGAGACACTCCCCAGCCCTTCTGGGGACATCCTTACGAGGCTGTGAATCTTCCTCCCGTCTGCTTCCCTGCAGCCTCTCTGCTCCAGTGCCCACCTCCCCCAGTACCTCTGAGCATGACAGGAGTGGGGCTCCCGTGCTGGGAGCTGGGCTTCTCCTGGCTGAGAGCCAGGAGTCCAGGGTTTCTCTTTACCCAACTTTCAGAGGTGAAAAGAAGGCCCCAGAGGGCCAGCGTAGCCACTCCCTGCTCCTCTGGAAGCTCCCGCTCCCTGGCTGGGAGCCCCAGGGACCTGTAGCCTGACAAACAAACCGGCCACAGCTGAAGGTGAAGTTGAAGCCGGGTGGGCAGTGCCCTCAGCCGCAGGATGGGGGAGGAGAGCACCCTGGCCGAGGGGGCCCAGCCGACCTCAGAAGCTGTATGTTGGGGGGAATGGGCAGGGGAGGAGAAGGAACGAGGGGTGTGTTCCTGTGTACAAGTGTGTAGGGTTACTATGTTCCTTCGTGTTTCCATGTCGGGTCTGGGTGTGCCTCTGAGCAGAGAGCTGTGTGTTTCTGTAGAGATGTGCTTGTAGGTTATTGACACAGGAGGGTTCGAGTGGGCAGGAGTAGGGTGGGCTTGAGGGGTTCAGAGTGTCTTTCTGGGGCCTCCCAGCTCTGGGTTGTGGGTGAGGCTGTGGGCATTCAGATTGGCTGCACATTTACCCTGTGGGAGAGCCCTGGGGCAGAAGTAGGTGTGGGTCCCCTCTGATCATGCCAGCCAGCCCTCCAGCCAGTGCTCCCACAGGCTGTGCTCTAGGCTCTGCCCCGAGGGATCCCCCAAGGGTCAGCACCTTCCCCAGCAGCACTTCAAATGCTAGCCAGGCGTCCCCTTACGTCATTGCTGACGATGTCCTTAGAGGAGAGTCGGTTCAAGGAAGGTCTCACCGATGTGCAACAATCTTAAAAGGGCCTGTTTTACTGGCTTCGCCCTTCACAGGGGACAGGCTGCGGCCAGAAATGCAGTCTTGATTTTTCTTCTCCCGGGTTGCATTCTTGTCCAAGGCCCCACCCAGGGGCCCTAGTGCTGCCCCTGAGCATATGCGTGCACCCCAAGCCCCACTCTCAGCTCCTCTCACTCTGTCAGGCTCCTGCTGGGAATTCAGAAGTGGGTCCTCCCCTGTGGACACCCCAAAGCCTCCCCGTTGCAGAACCGCCATTGCAGGGCAATGCGCATCACCAGGGGAGAGAGGTCTCCCTGCTGCTCCATCTGGAACAGCCGTGCTGAGAGCCACCCTTCTTGGGCCAGAGCTGGCGGGCGTAGTGTTCACCTCCCTCGAGGTCCCAGGACTGAACATGGCCCTGCCCTTTCCCCGAGTGGGGACTTGAGGAGCACCTGCCAGAGAGGGGACAACCAGCAGAGGGAACATCACTCTGGAAAGAAGTGAGGAGGGCTCCTGCTTCTGGAGCTGCTAGGGAAAGGGGGTGCTGGCCAGTGGAGGGGGCCCCATCTGGATCCCCTTGGGATGGCCATCAGGTGGGACTGATCAGGGGCCCAGGCACCTTCTCAAGGACGTGATGTACCCAGAGAGAGCTCAAGTGGCTTGTCCAGTGAAGCCTGCTCCCTCTCTCCCACCCTATGCTTTTCATACCCCAGCAGTGCACCTAGGGTCTGGCCAGTACAAGGGGCCTGGGTTTATTGCGGACCAGTCTGGGTGGCAGTGTCTCTGCCTCTCTCCCTGGGCAGCTGCGTGCGTCCTGTGTCGTGTGTGCAGTGGGCCCAGCAGCCAGGAGAGGAGAGCGTGTTCATGGTTACAGTAGTAGGCGGGAGCTGCGGTTGTGGACCCCTCCCTTTGCTGGGATGGGGATACCTTGGGTGGAGAGGAGCTACCGTGCTCTGGGGCAGAGCTGAACCAAGAAGGAACCCCTGCAGCTTCCTTTTGCCAAGGGCCCGGTGTCAGCCTGGCCGGAGCTAAAGAAAGCTTCAGGCTTCCAATCCCAGGATGGCTTTCAAGGCTCATACACCTTCCAGAACTTGCCCTCGTGACCTGCATTTCACAGAGAAGGAATCTGAGGCCTTGAGAGATCTAGGACCTTGTCCAGGGATGCCTGGACCCTCACTGCGGAGGCTGGGTTGGACCTTGGGTTTGTGTCCAGGACCCTTTCCTCTGCCTCCAGGATGCCAGAGGTGCTCAGGGGTCTGGGGAGGGGTGGCTGGGGTTTTGGCTCAGGCAGACCCTCTTGGGGAACAACAAAGGAGGATGTGAGTTTACCTGGGTAATAGGGCACCTTCAAGCCCTGGAGCTGTCCTGGGACCACCCCAGCTTTTGATACGTGATATCAGCTCATTGGGTGGTCCCGTACCCCCAAAGCTGGTAGTGATTCAGGGGAGTCAAAGATGGTGATAGCAACTTCTGCAGAAACCACGCCGCCTTGGTGATAAGGGTCTGTTTGTGCACTTAGCCACGTGTGTTTGGCAAAAAACGTGGCACTTGGTGGCTTTGCCGGCTCCCAAGCTGAGCCTCAAGCAAGCCCCTGGCGCCTTGGGTGCTCAGGTCTTTGCAAAATAAAGGCGTGGGATGCTTTCATTTGATGAAACTTTCTGTCCACATTTGTTCTGTTCATGCATTTTAGACGTCTGTTCATTTCCGTGTTTGTCTATGACTTACCATGCGACAGGCATTAAATTTGGTGCTGGAGATGGTATGGACCACATGGAGTCCCGCTTTCTCGGGGTGCACGGATTCATGAGTACAGGACATGGCGTGGTGTCGTTGCTACAAAGGGAATAAGATGGGGTAAGGAGGCGAGTGTGGGGGTAGAGAGGAGACCTCTGGCTGGGTAGGCTGGGACCGTGTGCTGGGAGCAGCACGGGAGAGTGGCCAGGACAAGGGAAGCCAGGGAGGGAGGTCCAGGCTTGGGATTCCAGATCCCGACCATTTACACTGCAGGCAACCCCTGCCCAGACAAGGACTCAGATGTCACACTGTTGGCACTGGCTGCAGCCCCCTCCCCCACCCCGACCTTCAGTCCTGTCTCCATTCTCAAATGGGGCTCGGAGTGTGGAGGGGGCATGCAAGCTAAAACCCTCCTTTGGGGAGGGGAGGGCGTGTTTAGGAAGCGTCGGGGAGGCCTGGCCGTCATCCAGGACTTTCTCAGTCCCGTGGATACTCATTTGTGTGTCGTGTAAGGCTCAGTGTTTATTTCTTTGCTTTTGATCACGGAACAGACTGACTAAAACATACTGTTTCTTCAATGATGTTTTAACCACCCCGCATTCCAGACAGCTGCAGCTTTTGGATTCCACTTAGCACACGAGAAAGGAATATGGCTAATAGTCACTATTCACGGAGCATTTCCCGTGTGTCTTTTCTCCATTATCTCGCTAACCAGCCCAGCGAAAATCGTGGTAGGGGCTCCTTGCCTCCAGATTAGGAGACCGAGGCTTAGGGGTGCTAAGCGGCAGAGGCAGGGTTCAGTCCTGGTGGCCGGTCCCTGAGGCCCAGCTCTGGGCCAGAGTAGGCCGTTCCTTATGACCTGCTTACCAGCACAAACGTGGCCATCTGCGTGGGCCCTGGGCAGGTGCGGTGTGTGAGGGATAGCCGAGAGGCCGGTTCTGCACAGGCACTGGGCTAAGTTGCCAAGGTCAGGAAGAGGTTGGGTGTGGGCAGAGCAGAGATTGGGCTGGGGCGTCAGGTGACAATGTCCCCTTGAACTCTGCCTCCATGCTCAGAACCCTGACCGCCCAGGAGGAGTGGGCAGGATGCAGGGAAGAGTGGAGACTTCCCAGCTCTGTTCCGCCTAGAGACCTTGGGACAGTGCTCATTATCGCTGTCCCTCAGAATGACCAGGGCCCTCTGCAGGCATCCCAGACACCCTGAGTTAGCCTCTCTGAGATGGAGGCCAGGAAAGGTCTACTGCTTTAAGTTTCTACGCGTGCTTCCTGTGCAATCACAGACATGGCCTGGTCCAGCGAGGTCCGAGAGGAACGCAGTGGGAACCACAGTTGCAAGCCACATATGTAATTTCAAATCTTACAAAATGCTAAGTTAGCGGCGCCTGGCTGGCTCAGTGGGAAGAGCATGCCACCGTTGATCTCAGGGTCGTGAGTTGAGCC